TTTCCCACTCCCTTTCATTAAAGATGCTCAAAGTTGGGAACTCAGAAAAATATCCTTGATGACCACCTCTGCCTCTGCAGAGTGGGCCCAAAGCCTGGCACAGTCAGGAGGACTAAGAGGGGGGGGAGTGATGGGGGTTCAGAGGTGCCCTCGCAGCTGCCTTCCCAGTGCTTGAGCAATGGTGGCTGGGTCGGGAGCGGGAGTGGTTCTACTTCCCGTGGTGGATCAGAGCCCAGCCTCTATGCTAATTTTTTAAAAAGCACAAGTGGAAGGGTCAGGGATTTAACACAGTGGTCCTGGTGCCTGCCTCAAAAGCACAAGGAACCGAGTTCAATCTCCGGGACTGGAAAAAAATAATACAAGTGGACACCAAACTCTTGGGGCAAAATATAATAAAATGTTAGCAGTTATTGCTTCTAAACAATACAAATTACAATGGCTTTTCATTTTATGCAATATGCTTTTCTCTATTTTCCATACTTACTGCATTTTAAAGATGTTGTTCACATGAGAAACAGAATATGACAGTATCAAATTTCTCCCACTGAGTTGCTGATATCTCACTAATTTATCTACTAAGGATTTAGAAGGAATAAATTAAATGCTTCAAAGGTACAGGATTTTTGTGTACAAGTAAATGTGAATAATTTAATTTTTTTCTTTTTGTTGAGTGTATTGGTACATTTTAGGTATACAGTACAGTTACATTCTTTATTGGGATTTCGAACCTTTACATGACAGGTCTTGGTTCTCATTTTTTCCCCTGATCCCTGCCCTCCCTTCACCCCTCTTACCTTCCCATCTACAAACACTTTATTTCCATTTTTTTCATTTTCTCATATTTTTTTCTTTTTCCTTATTTCTTTTTATGGAGTAGCAAAGTTTCCTCAATTTTGTGTAGGAGATTTTTTAAAGGCTTTATTTGTAAATGATAAATTTTTTTTTAAATATCTCATTTCAATAACACTGACCATAAGTGTTTTTTTGGTACTGGGGATTGAACTCAGGACCTCGCACTTGTAAGGCAGGTATGGTGCCACTGAGCTAGATCCCCAACCATAGGTGTTTTGAAATATGTGGACTTTAAATCATTTATCTAAAAAAAAAGTCCTTATTTTATTCCTTTTTTTTATTTTTTTGACACAGGGTCTCACTATGTAGTTGAGACTGACCTGGAATTCACTAGGTAGACCAGGGTGGTCTCAAACTCACAGCAATCCTCCTGCCTCAGCCTCCCAAGTGCTGGGATTACAGGCATGTGCCAAAATGC